TCATTAAGTACTTATACAAAATTTTATTAAAATAAAACAATTTAAACTGGGTGTTCGGATTTATATGTCACTTAGTATATATTAGTCTAAGATGAGCATCTTGTGGTGAATGAGACTTTGTTCCTTCTTTTGATCCTCCAATATTCCAGGACATGGCACATGTGTTTCTTCTACCGATAGGTGGACAGCAGATACGATTTAAAGTTATTTATTGTTAACCTTTTCAATCCACCAAATATGCATTTGTGCTTCAGTTGTCGCCGTATACATTGTTTTTTATCCTTGGCACATTTGGATATTTAATATGAGTTGACAGGAAGTTTACTTTTCAATTATGTATCTATTCCTATGGTCTGAACAAGTAGGTGAAAGTCATGTATCGACTATCACCTCGAAATTATGTTGATATTAAATCTCATTTAGATCGCTGAAAACCGACCCACCACGAATCTTTTTTTTTTAAATTCATTCGCGTATTTTGGACTAATAATATCCGTAGTTTTCACCTAAAATCAATCGTTTTGAGTTTTGTTTAAGATTTTTTGTCTAATGCCCGGGATATGTAAATCTTCGCATGTTAGCTATGTTATACTAAATGACATATAAATCCGAACACCCAGTTTAAATGGTTTTATTTTAATAAAAGTTGGTGAATGTATTTATCTTACTGTAAATAACAAGTGAAAAAATTTTCAGCCTTATCAGTTGGACATTCCGGTTTTTATACTGCTTTTTTTAATTCACTAACGCTCTAAAAATGAATATTTCAGCCGCAGTAAAGAATCAACGTTGGCGGATTTTGGTTCTTGACATCCTCTACGATCGGTTACGATGTCTAGAGTACGGAGACCTGTACGATTTCGTCAACTTAGTGAGTTTGATAGGGGCCGTATAGTGGGACTTCGGGAAGCTGGACCTTCTTTTCGGGCAATTGCAGTTAGAGTGCAAAGAAGTGTAGACAATGTGGTTAGGTGTTGTCAGGCATGGCCTCGAGAAGGCCGTACGTAAAGAGCAAGGGGCACTGGACGCCGCCGTAGAACAACAGACCGTGAAGATCGCCGCCTAAGATTATTGGCCTTAAGGGACCGTTTCTCCACTACCAGGTCCATTGCAAATGAATGGTTTGCAGAACACGGAAGACCTATTGGCATGCGAAGTGTTTACCGACGAATGAGAAGTTTTGACTTGTTTTCATACCGGCCACACTGGGTCCTCCCTTTAACTCGAGAACACCGACGTAATCGCCTTGAGTGGTGCAGACAACGGTCACTTTGGGATCAGAAATGGAACAGTATTGTCTTTAGTGACGAGTCTCGATTTTGTTTAGGCATGCACGATGGTCGTGCCAGGGTTAGAAGGCGACGTGGTGAAAGGAGGAATTAACAGTTTTTTGTTGAAAGACATGTTCATCACACTGTTGCAGTTATGGTTTGGGGTGCTATAGCTTATGGTTCCAGGTCGCCTTTAATCTTCATCAGAGGTAACATGAACGCGCAGCGTTATATCCACGAAGTTCTAGAACCCCATCTTTTACCCTATCTTGACACCCGGCAGATCCGACTTTCCAACAAGATAATGCCCGACCACATGTTGCAAGAGTCACAATAGACTTCTTTCAACATAATAATGTCACATTGTTACCATGGCCACCAAGATCTCCCGACTTATCCCCAATTGAGCACGTGTGGGATATGATGGGTAGGAGATTGCTCAATTTGCAACGTCCTCCTCAGACTCTAGAAGCACTTCGAGAGGAGTTGGTGGTTGCCTGGAATGAGATACTACAGGAGGACATTGACCACCTGATCAGAAGCATGCCTAGGCGCGTTGGAGAATGCGTAGCACATCATGGTGCAACCACACATTATTAAAGGTCAAAAGGCTTTAAAGCAGTGCAATCATTTTGAAATGTTTATCATTTACTTATTATGCTTCATTAAGTACTTATACAAAATTTTATTAAAATAAAACCAATTAAACTGGGTATTCGGATTTATATGTCACTTAGTATATTTTAGCTCGAAAATGATCAGCTTCAAAGATAACCTAAAAAGGACCTTTTTCAGAAAGAGCGAGAGGACGTATCACAAATTTGACCCGAAGCGAATTCATTTTCATTATACCTTAATCTGACCGCTGTCCCGATTAGCACGATCTCGGGTCATGTAGGGCTTTACGCTTATTTTAGGGCCACCAGGAAAGTAATTATAGAAAATGTTATGCGAATATTGATCGCAACGATGCCTCCGTTTTCGTCGTATATTATGCGAGCGTTATTTATGCAGTAAAAAATGAGTGAACGCCTACAATTAGCGTATTTTCTCGGCCATCATTGCAAAAATTAGTGAACTGTGTAAAGTAACACAAGGTAGGGTGTATGTGAGAGTCAGAACAAGGAAACACTGTGGAACGTATCCTCCGGATAGTACATAAATTACACCAGAATGCGTGTCTATCCAATGTCATGTTTCTTGTTTACAATGTAAATACTCGGAGGTGACTGTACAGTGGCTTTTTACCTTCATTAAAATGCTTAATTTCAATATAATGACGTAATTAGTTACTTTCGATAATGAGAACCCCAAAGACTGTATAATGTTTTAAAATAAAAATATAGCTATTAAATGCAATAAAATAAGGGTAGATCTACGTGTAGTAATCTGGCATGTTTTAAACAGTACTCCGCGTCAGTTCTGGATAATGGCGGGCAAGTTGATGTAGTCTATACTGACTTTTCGAAAGCTTTCGACCATTTGGATTACGGTGTTCTACTGCAGAATTGGTCTAAGGAAGGTTTAACATCTAGATTCTTAGCTTTCTTTCATTCATACATCAGTGATAGACAATTTTGTGCGGACTTCCGTGGATATAAGTCTGGTGCGGTTTTAGCTACATCAGGGTGCCCCAAGGTTCTGTTCTGGGTCCTCTATTATTTTTAATCTTTATCAATGATGTTACAGCGTTGTGAGTACCTGCTATATGCCGATGACATCAAAATCTTTAATAGCGTGTGTTGCTTAGAAGACAGTTTAAGGTTACAGGCTGATTTGAACGTCACTGGTGTAAAGTAGATAACATGCACTTGAATGTCAATAAATTTACTACTATAACGTTTACACGCAGGTTGGAACCACATGTTTTAATTTTGAAATCGTTAGCAACGTCCTTTGTCGTGATAACGTGGTCAAGGATTTGGGCGTATTATTCGATCTAAAGCTTTCTTTTATTGATCACATTAATGCAATAATAGCAAAAGCTTTTAAAAATCTTGGTTTTGCTATAAGAAACAGTAGACATTTCATTAATACTAATACATTAATTTACTTTTTAATGCTTTTGTCAGATCTATTTTAGGCCATCTGGATTATCTGGTACCCGGCCTATGATATACACTGGAAAAACATCGAGAGAATCCAACGTCGTTTTGTGAAATACTTACGGTTTAAAGATGATATTGCGTACCCCGAAAGGCAATGACATTCTCTTAAGTAGATATAAATTATCTAATTTAGTCAAGCATATGAATCTGTTAGCTGCTAAATTTTTATGTAATTTGTTGAACGGAAAAATTGATTGCTCCTTTCTTCTAGACAGGTGGTAACAATTCTTTTTATTTACCTGTTTCGCGGACAAATTTATTGTTATTTTCGCCTCTTTATGTTATGTGTAATGAACTTGATATTTTTAGTTCCACCAAAATCGATCTCAACAGGTGTTTTTTAACAATTGGATAATTTATATTCATGTCTTTTTTATCATGTACTCTTTAGAGTTTTGTTTTTGTATCATTTTTTTGTTTTTTCCCTGCCTGTTAATTGGATCACTCTGTTCAGGCAGTGTATGGATTATTATAAATAAATAAATGAAAATAGCGTCCCGTTGAGACTTTTTCATCCCTTGACCACTCATTAATGACAGTCTTTCTATAAATCAGCTTGCAGCCCATAGTTTCTTCGAGGTATAATCTCGAAAAGCAGCTGCGTCGGAATTATTAAAATTTCGGGAATAACATTAAGCATATACTTCTAAAATTCAGGAAAATAGCTCCTTAAACTTTGTGTTTATGTTTTCGATCATTTTTGAACGTGGTGGTACCACCTAACAAACTCCAATTACACGAAGTTATTCTCTAATAACAGTATAATAAATTTTTTAATTTGTCATTTTTTAGATTATGTTTTCTGCTGAAAAAATATGAGGATCATGTGAGAAAAATATCAGAGACAGTTTAAAACACTCTTTGATTTCAAAAGAGCTTCCTTCTGAGCTCTTTTAAATCTCTTATTGTTACTTTTATATGAACACAATGCCAGTGCATTGGTTCGCTGGTATTTCATATATTTCTGATGGCATAATTGATCGCATTAAATATAATAGAATAAAAAATGTTTCTAAGTTTTGTAATATTCTGTAGGGTATTTGTCAACTAGTAAGTATATGCTTGTAGAATAGAAAGAAAAAATAGAAAATGTTGCAATTTGTATACGGTTCAGTTAACATAGTATACTTATTTTTTCACTGCAAGTTCTCGGCAATTCTTGGCTCGAAGAATATAAAACGTATATATCCTAGCTATAATAACGATATTGATTCTGTGAGATCATAAGTCGATGACATAGAACAGGTCAAAGAGTATTTACATTTGGAATCACTTACATATACGTTACGTATAGTAGTTACAGAAAAACAAACACTATAAGAGTAAGTTATAAAATTATCAAGAGCAAAAACCAGTATTTAAACGATAAAACCGTATAATCCAAATGACATGAACTTGTCCAATTGATACTACAAAGAAATACAAAACACTAATGAATTCAGCAACAGAATAAAATCATATCATATCATATATCATTACTAAGTCGCTTCTTAAAAAAATTACTTGATTCGGTGCACCTGATTTCACTCGAAAGTGGATTCCAAATTCTACGTCCCAAAATATTTGTTGCCCTGCCATTCAATTTGCATTTAACACTAACAGTATTTTTTGCATTTTTCAGAAACTGTTGGATGTTTCAACTTGCCCCATAAGAACTCCCCGCTACAAAAGGTTCCAGAGGACCCCAGAGTGGTAGAAACTAAGTTCTACCTGTTCACAAGGAACATAGACTTCCATAAGCCTGAGGTGCTTTATTATGATGACAATGGTACATCGCTTCAAGAGTCCAGCTTCAACTTCTCCAATCCGTTGAAGGTCGTTGTCCATGGGTACACGAGTAGGTGGAATGAGAAAGGATCCATCATCATTGCCAATTCATACCTAAAGCTGGTGAGTAGAAAAGGTTTCATGAATTCAGTTTTTTCGTAAGGAAAAGCTTTGTAAACGCCAAACGCCATCGCACTTATGTTATTTGCCCTCGTGGAACCCAAACAAAATATCAAAATGTGTTCCAGAACCAATGTACAGAGCAAAAAAAATACTGCCAATGTTTTTAGAACAGAAAGTATATAAAAGAAACTAACGAGCAAGTAATAAAACTCCTTTAATTAGGTACAGAATAATTTATTTTCCTAAGTTGACATATTTTTTAAGTAGGTTGTGCCTGACGAGATGAATATATGCCAAATTTCGTTAAAAACGGAGAATGAATGCTAAATTTATGGCCAAAATTAAAAAAAAATACAGTAAGCATCTTGGTTGAGTTTGACTTTTGGACTAAAAAAATTTAACTTAATCTCAATATTTCTTTGAAGGGAATCCGCTGTTAAATTATTTAGCATTACATATATCGAGAACCAGATAAAGGTACCGGGGAATCCACTTATAATGAACTTGCTTCTAATGGAAACCCATATACAGGGTGTCCCGAAAAAAGTCTGCAATATTCTACAAGCGGTTTCTCGAGCTTAAAATAGGAAGAAAAGTTTATATAAACATAGGTCGACAAACGTCCCCTAAGGGCGCTACGGTCTTTTAAAGGGGCTCCCCTGAAGATGGTTTTTCCTTAATATTTCCGAAACGTGTTGAGTTAAAGACAGAAAATTTGGTATTCCAGCCTAGTTTATTATGCTGGATTTAAAAATATTAACAATCTTAGACAGTTTTGTCTGTAAGCGTATGTAACAGGGACGGACTCAGGTTATTTTAACCCTAAAATTTTTGTGTGATTCTATTTTTGAAGTTCAACCCTAGATTTTTAAAATTTAGGGTTTTCTACATAAAAAAGGTACTCTTATTGAATATCGATAAATTGTGCCATTTTTGAATAAAATCAAACTAAAAAATTTGTCACATGATAGGAAATGTACTGCGAATTTAAATGAATCGTTGATTATACATATATGTAGTTAGCCATGACTGCAAACAAAAGTTGTTTTGAGTTGTTATGACTTATTTTAACGTTTAGCTGACATTGTTAGCAGTGTAAAATTACTAGATTAAAATCAAAATTTTTTGTAATCGATTTAAAATGCCAATACTTACATACAGAGAACTGACTGACATGCATTTTGTGTACGGGTGTTGCCGTAAGAGAATATCAAAGAAGATTTCCCAATCGCATAGTACTTGGACGTCCAATGTTTACTGATATTCACCGGAATTTTTCAAACCGTGGAAGTTTTCAGCGCATGCAAGGCTCAGGAAGGCCACTGGGAAATCATCGTATGGATATTGCTTTAAATATGTTTGAAAATAATCCGTAAAAAAGCATACGAACTGTTTCGGAAATTATGGATATACCTTGATCAATAGTAAGAAAAATTTATGAATACCTATTTGATCGTTATCCTAAAAATAATAATTTTAGATAGGAAGAATGACAAGAATGCAGGATTACATTCTTATCATTTTAAACGGGTGCAGCATTTAACGGACGCAGATTTTTTACCACGAACCGAGTCTTGCCAGTGGGTATTAGCAAATGAAAACACTATTCCTAGAATATTATGGTCGGATGAGTCAATATTTACTAGGAATTGTGCTTTTAATTTCCATAACATGCATCACTGGTCAGATGAAAATCCAAAAGTTATTCGCCGTACAAATTTCCAACATAGATTTTCATTGAACTTATGGGCAGGAATAATTGGGGATCAAGTAATTGGGCCTATTGTACATCCCAATCGTCTTAATTCAGAGGTGTATCTGAACTTTCTTCAGAATGAGCTCATGGACGTAATACCATTGGATGTGCGCCAGCAGTTTCAAGAAAATATGTCTTTTCAACATGATGGCGCCCCTGCACGCAATGTTCGAAAGTGGTTGAATGTCAATTTTCCAGACAGGTGGTTAGGCCGAGGAGGTCCTATAGCGTGGCCGCCACGTTCACCTGACCTAAATCCATTGGATTTCTATCTTTGGGGGTCATTAAAAGACCTAGTTTACTCGACTGAAGTAAATACTCAAGAAGATTTACTTCAAAGAATCCATCAGGCTGCAAATGAAATAAGAAGAAAAAGGTTTTCCACTTTTCGGGCTACGCAATCATTAGTTCGTCGAGCGAGACTCTGTATCAAACGAAATGGGATCTTATTTGAACACTTATTGTAAAGCTAGTTTCAAGTATATCCAACAGTATGTCTTCTTTTTAAACAAATTTCAATTTCGCTCTTAGAAAAAATTTATTTCTTTTGTTTTTGCCTAAATGTTAGCTATGTTGGAATAGAAATATGTATTTATGTAATATTTACCAATTATTAAATTGGCTTTTTTGTTGCCATGGATAATTATTCAAGAATTCATTTAAATTCGCAGTACATTTCCTATCATGTGACAAATTTTTTAGTTTGATTTTATTCAAAAATGGCACAATTTATCGATATTCAATAATAGTACCTTTTTATGTAGAAAACCCTAAATTTTCAAATTCTAAAATTGAATTTCAAAAATAGAATCACACAAAAATTTTGAGGCTAAAATAACCTTAGACCGTCCCTGTTTCATACGCTTCCAAACAAAACTGTCTAAAATTGTTAATATTTTTAAATCGATCATAAAAACTAGGCTAGAATACCAAATTTTTGTCCTTATCTCAACACGTCTCGGAAATATTAAGGCAAAACCATCTTCAGGGAAGCCCCTTTAAAAGACCGTAGCGCCCTTAGGGGACGTTTGTCGACCTGTGTTTATATAAACTTTTCTTCCTATTTTAAGTTCTAGAAACCGCTGGTAGACACACTTTTTTCGGGACACAATTTAAGGTCATATAAATAATTGCATGTAAAAACCTCGGATATTATAGGCTCGCTTAAAATAGCGGACTATTTTAACCCATTTTAGTAGTAGTAGTTCGCCGAAGCAGATTTAGCTGATGTAATCGTTTACGGCGGTTTATTAGAGTTATAAACATGTCGAAAAGTGCGGAACGTGCATTCACTTTACACGAAAAGTTCACAATAATCAGTGAGCTTGAGCAGGCTTCATCTCAAGCAAATATATGTGCTCGAATGGCTAAGAAACAAATCCACTGTGTCAAATATTTGGAAAAACCGTGACAAAATTAAAAATGACTGGAAATCAAATAGTCAAAAGAAAAAATGCGGCTATCGCTGCATCCCCAAGTCGATGATATGCTGTTTAAATGGTTTCAACAAAAGCGTGCTAATAATTTTCCAATAAGTGGTCCTATGCTACAAATAAAGGCGGAAGAATTTGGGAAATTGATTGGAGATTACTTCAAATGTAGTTCCGGTTGGCTAGACAGGTTTAAGAAAAGACATAACATTGTTTTTGGAAAAATGTGTGGCGAGTCAGCTTCAGTTGACATTACCACTGACTGGAATTCTCAAGTTTGGTCCGTAATATCCAGCTATTATTCAGATGTATAATACAGATGAAACCGGGATATTTTATAGAATGCTACCACATAAAACTCATAAATTAAAAGGTGAAACTTGCAATGGAGGTAAACTATCAAAAGAGCAAATAACTCTTATGATTTGTGCTAATGCTTCTGGTACTGAAAGACGGAAATTATTGATAATAGGTAAGTGAATGAATATTCATTGGCAGTGCTGCAAAATATGTACGACCTTTTTTGAATTCATCAATTTTTGTAGCATATTAAAAAAAGTGGGACGCTGAACTTGTTAAGAGAAATCGTAAAATTTTGCTCTTAGAGCCGTTTTACACACAAGAGAATTAATTACTCCAAAAATTATGGTCATAATTATGCCGAAAATTTGCATGGAAAAAATATGAAGATTTTCTCTACAACCTGTATGACACAAGCAAACAAAATTTCCGAGTAATTCATATGATACGCCTGCGCATTAGAGTAATATTTTCGAATGGACATAACCTTAACGAGTATGACGTCCAATATAATCGGAAAGACAACAGACGTCGTTGATTTAAATTTATTTTGAAATCGAGATCTTGGTTAATATTATAAAACTTCTCAATGCTTGGACTATCGCATCCAGCACCTGACGCCGCAAATTTCTGTTTTTGAAATTGGGTGACTTCACCTTGAACAGGTTTGCCCATTTTTGGTACTCCTACAACAACAGTGTAACTTCTTCCTGATTCCACGACATTATGAATAAACAATAACAATAAACGCTTCTTCGTAGTACGACTCGAACAGGACCATACCCACAAATGTTAAGCGGGGTTATGTTGTTGACGTTGACATTTGATAATGACATGCACTGAAATAATCCTCTGCGCCGATTCTCGCGCATATTATATAGAACGGGTTTTATATTTTTACTATGAAAATTTTCACAAGAATTCTTTTAGGTGTAATACGACAGCAATAATTTTCGGCATAATTATAACCATAATTTTCGGAGTAATTCTCTTGTGTGTAAAACGGCTCTTAGTCGATAACTGCCCGTTCATCCAAATATTTCACTTAATAACATCAACCTTCAATTTTTTCCACTGAATGTGACATCAGTTCTGCAACCAATGGACCAGGGTGTCATTTGGAGTCTTAAACAAATGTATCGGAAACATATGTTGATGAAAATTATGGAACTTCCAGAAGATGTCAACATTACCAAAGCTGTCACCATTTTAGATGCTATAAATTTGCTTACTTTTGCATGGGAATCGGTTACTCCTGAAACGATTCGTAATTGTTTTCGCCATGGTGGTTTGGTGAAAAACATAATTGAAATAGTCAACGATTTTAAGAAGATGAAATTCCATGGATTTACTGAAAATTAATTGTTTACTGAATATAGACAAATTTAATGAGTATGTAAATGTTGACCATAATTTAATAGCAACACAGGAAGACGAACTAGAAAACAACGATGAAGAAGAGCTTCCAGTGACAACTAAGGAGGCATTAGACTGCGTGAAAAAGTTGCAACGTT